TATGAAGAAAACCTTAATGCCAGGCGCATTTCAAAGCCCGACTCTGGCTCTGGCTGCGAATTTAGCTTTGTTACTTAACACACATTTCCTTCTGGCCTCTCATGTAGATTGGCTTTAAACTTCATAAAGTTAAAAATTATTGCATAATTCATTCTCTTTAGAAACATTCCAGTTCTTTTTTTTACTCTGTCAAATTCGGCAGCAAGAACAGAAAATTCAGTGACAAGCACAGGAATACTGAGACACCAAACGCCCTGCTACGGGGTGAAGAGTGTGCCGCCTTCCGCACGTGCAGCCAAATGGAGTGTTCATTGCTGGAAGTGTACCCCGACCATGAAATGTCAACAGAGATTTTTTTCCCCTCATGGTTCAGGCACAAACAACAAAGCAGACTTAGTCTTCTGAAGTTTGCAAAATGGCAGAATGTTTATCTTCGGAGTGAGGGAGGGATGGAGTCACAGAGTAAACAAAGAATTTTCAGAGGACATTTCCTTACTTCAGTTTAAATTATGGATGTCACAGAGTGGTATAATAGACACTGGAGACAGAATGGGGGAGGGAGGAGGATGAGGGATAAAAAACTACATATCAGGTACAAGGTACACCACCCAAGTGACATGTTCACTAAAATCTCACACTTTACCACTACACAATTTGTCCATGCAACCAATAGCCACTGGTACCCCTAAAGCTATTAAAATTTTTTTAAAAAATAAAATGTTAATGACAAAGACAAACCTTTTTTCTTACTTTGATCAAGGTTTTTCAATCTTGACACTATTCGCATGTTAGACAAAATAATTCCTTTTTTCGGGGGGACTGTCCTGCTCATTGTAGGATATTTAGCAGCATCCTTGGCTTCTACCCAATAGATGGCAGTGGCAATACCCCCATTCCCCCAGCTCCTCCTTCCCAAGGCCAGTTGTGACAAGTGAAGATGTCTCCAGGCATTGCTAAATGTCCCCTGAGGACAAAATTGCCCCCACCTGAGAACTACTGTTTCGTTCATTTCTATCCCACATGCCTTGTAGACATAACTCAGAACTTCTACCAACAAGCTTGTCCAACCCTGTGGCCCATGGGGCACAGGTGGCCCAGGACAGTTTTGAATGTGGCCCAACACAAATTCATAAACTTTCTCAAAACATTATGAGATTGTTTTGTATTTTTTTTTAAGCTCATCAGCTATGGGTCGTGTTAGTGTATTTTATGTGTGGCCTGAGACAATTCTTCTTCAGATATGGTTCAGGGAAGCTAAAAGATTGGAAGCCCCTGCTCTACAACATTGTTCCAATTCCAAAAGGTTGAGAGCTAGAATCTAGGACTTCCAGAGAAAAACTAGGATGAGCCACTGATCCTTCGCTTTGCTTCAGAGACTGTGGATTGCAGGTCACAACAAGTAGCTGGGCTACAACCTCGATCTTTATTTTTGACCCTAAGAAAATGCATCAAGTTATTTTATTTCATAAAACATCTACCACTACTAGCAGATTATCAACCAAATCACTTTCTGGCTCAACTTGCCAAATTTCTGGCAAACAGCTATTCTGAGAGACTTTTTAGTCAACAGATTTTGCTAGAGCTCCTAAATACTCAAGGTGGAAAATCTTTCCAATCCCTCATTGGTTTATGGTCATGTCACGGGTTCTTTTCTGGCCTTTATTGATTGCCACTAGAAATAAGTTACTGATATTCATCAGATATGCCCTTAGCACCGAATTCTAGGAAATACTGTACCAGTGATATTAATAAAAAATATGTAAATATTAGTTATAATTAATTTAGCTAATTCACTTGAACAAATAATCTGTTCATTATTTATATTTTATTCTCCCTTCTAAACTTTCTCCCCTGGCCAAGTCTTATAACTGTCATCTCTAACGAGAGGCCTCACAAATGTCTTTCTGGAGTCGTTTTCCCCAGGTTGTAATCCTTAATTTCAGTTTCTAAACATCACAAATAAATATTGACATATTAGACCAAATAATTCTTTTGTGCAATTCCATGAAAATCACATCAACCTCAATAAAGCTCTAATATGGTAAACGGCTAAACATTTCTTGTTCTAAAATTCTTAATTACCCTTGTAGATATCCCCATCAAGAAATAGAATCTATTTCTCTATCTTTTAAATATGAGGTATGGAGTGACCATTAACTTGAAATGACCAATGGGACATCAGCAAGCAAGCAAACAAACCTCCAAAACACTTGGGCCTCTGAGTTCCTCAATTTTCCCTGCCACTGCCACCACGAAGATAACCTGCCACACTAGAAAATGAAAGACCTGATGCAGCAATTGTAAGTCTGCCAGCCCCAGTCAAGCCACCAACTGACCAAAGATGTATGAGCAAGCACAGCTGGGATCAGCAAAAGAACAGGACAGCTGAGTCCAGCCTTAACTGCCTACCGCATTTTGGGGTGGTTTCCGATACATGAGGCATAGTCCCAACCATATTTATTTTAGAATATGAACTTGCTTTACTTTTTCAAATGAATTCTAGAAGATTCAGCTGTGTTTATATGGCAAGGCAATTTAGTTGGTCAAGATGAGATCTACTAATTCCAACCCTTATGAAGAACAAACTGGATTGGTCAGTAACGTGTTGATTACTGCTGGATGATAGATAACATGTGATTAAGACAGGAAAAAGAAAAGGAAATTACTGTGGAAGGGCTGAGTTGATGCCCTTCCAGCAAGTATATTAGACATGAAGACAAGCAAGTGTATTAAAACCTGTACCCAAAGGTTGAGTGGAAGAGTTATTTTTTCGTTCCATTGTACAAGTAGTTCATGTTTTAGAAATAGACTCTAGCCTAAAATTTCAGTAGAATGCAGGATGCATTTTCTCATAGAAATAAAGATATAAATTACAGATAGTTGCTCAGGGCAGCCTACAGATTTCTCTTTAATCCAGAACATACATGAAATATTCTGTATTGACAATAAAAAAATGGAAATAACAGAAAAATAAAAATAAAAAATACAATTCTTAATTATGCTAACATTAAAACTGTACTTAAAGGAATACACACACACACACACACACACACACATACATATATATATAGCCATGTAGAAAATGCTTATGATTTAAAGTATAAAGCAAGAAACAGGTTGGCTGTGGCAGCTCACACCTATAATCCTAGCACTTCAGGAGGCTAAAGCAGATAGATTGTTTGAACACAGGAGTTCGAGACCAGCCTGGGAAACATGGCAAAACCCTGTCTCTACAAAAAAATACAAAAATTAGTTGAGCATAGTGGTGCACCCAGGAGGCTGTGGTGGAAGGATAACCTGAGACCTGAAGGTCAAGGCTGCAGTGAGCTGTGATTGTATCACTGCACTCCAGCCTGGGTGACAGTGAAACCCTGCAGAAAAAAAGAAAAGAAAAGGAAAAGAGAAGAGAAAAGAAAAAAAATCCTATACACACAATGAATATAACTATAAACACCTAAGTAGATACGATGAGAAATCAGTATACAAAAATCAGTCAACATGATGGGATTTACAATTAACTTTTTCTCTTTTGGAATGCCCATAATGTTAAACTACTAGCATTTCTTTAAATTTGTCTTTTAAAATATTATACACACACACGTGCACACACACGTCAAAATTTAAATATAAATATTGAGACCTGTACAATATGAACTCAGTCTCTCTCTTAAATTAGCCCCTTAAGACCATCACTCAACCAGGAACTCTAGCTGTGAGTCCCGCCAGCAGCTTGGGCTTTCCCTTTCCCACCTACTCACTGCGCATGTCACTGCCAGTCACCAGCTGCTCCTCATTCTCTCTGCAAATCAGGTCAGTGCACTCAACCACACCTTCTGCATTCGGCCCAGGTGGCCCCTTCCTACTGCCACCTACCTGGATTAAGTCCTGGTACCTCTGGCTCAGCCTCTTCCAGTAAGATATTTCACGATGAAATGACTTGGTTCTGCTGATTCCCGAATCATCCTGCAAACACATACTCCCTCTCCTCACCTTCCATGTTTAACGTCCAGCTCTGGCTGGATCACTTGCCTGCTTACAGAGAGCAGGCCCTCCAGAACCTCTTCAACCTCCCTTTCAGGCTCATTGTCCACTATCCCTCACTAATCCCAGTTTCCATCTCCAGGACTTTTTTTCTCTACCAAGAATGCCCTCTCTCCCAACATAATTATCTGAATCCCACCTACTTTTCAAAGTCCAACTCATATAGTATCCCCTCCTTGAAAGGATGTTCTGCCCTGCTAAACATGCTTCTTCCTCCTGAATGCGCCTCCTGAACTTTTCTTCTGATTAAACATACACAGCTACCTTGAATTGTGGTAATTGGCTGCCTCTTTATTGCTTTCCTACTAAATTATAAACCCTTGCCTTTGAATGTTTTGTTTTTAATCCTATATAGTTTTATGCAGTGTTGGTAACAAAAATATATTTGCTTAATAAGCCAATAAAAAATAAGGTCTAACAAAGCAACGAATTTAAAAGTTCAATGACTTATTTTTTCAAGTATAACCTGTAACAAGCATATTTTGACTTAATCTCACAGCTGGGTTTTTAAGAAGTCAAATTTCATAGGTACGCTCCAGATAACACCCCCACTCCTTCCTCTTCTCTTTCCCTCTCAGACTCTCTGCAGAGTGAGAGCCTCATCTCAACTTGTCTCTGCCCGTATAAACACAGAACTTTTGACAGTTTTATTGTTAATACTTATAGACCTGACCACGCAAGGCCCTCAAGATAGGGTTGTTAAAGGGCTAGAGCCAACTTGATTCTCTACATCTGAAACACTTAATTACAGAGCTCTTCTGGAATAATCAAGTCATATGAACTCTACCCAGCCGGATGGAACAGAAACATTGGCTCAGCGAAAGAGTGGGTGTTTTCCTTAGACTGTGGAATCATGGCTGAGGGTCAGGACCTGAAATATATCGAGGTGGATAATTGATGTATAATAATTTACAAAATTATTCTCTTAGGCTACAGAGCTACAATTCACAGTAGTAAATATGAGGACCTTCTTAAGGAATCAGAAATATGAGGATATGCACAATATTATTCACATTTTACAGATCAGAAAATTGAGGCACAGATAAACTTTCCAAGGCTACCAGGCATTCTAGCTCCAGAAGCTGCACTCTTACCATTCTGCTACAAGATATTTTGAAAAAAAGAAAAAGTGAAAAGAAGTCAAAAGGCAACAGAGTTCATTGATTATTCCATTGAACAGTCACACCATGCCATTCTCACACCCTTGCAGACACATTTGACCATGAAAGGTTCCTCAATGAAAGGTTCCTCATTATCTTCAGAATCCATATTTCTCACATTGACCTTGCAGTTAACTCAAACCCCTAGGTCTGGAATGCTGTCTTCTCTACCTATCAAAAACTATACATCCACAAACCATATAAACTCTCAGCCCTGCTGCAAAGCCTTTCCAGAAAAATACAAATGTTTGAAAAGGATATTCTGCTACCAATGACTGTTTAAGCCCAGCCAAGTAACTGAACCATTCCAACTTCAATTTACTTATGAAAAGAATTTGATGATGTAGGAGGTTATTTCAATTCTAAAATACAAACCCATGTTGATCTTTCTCATTCTTGAACTCACAGATTATCTATTATCTCAATTTAGTCTGTTTGTTGTTTATCCTTGTGGGCCATTAAAACTACCACATGTGTTTCTGTCTCTCCATTAGTCAATAACTAAACTAACGAGCAATTAGTGAGCCATGTGCCAGATGCTCTGCTAGGCACCAGAGGGATAAGTATATCACCAATTTTCACTTAGTAACTAGTGAAATTTTCAAGTCACACCTGAGTCAAGAGTTTAGGAGACATTACAATGTGTAATGGAAACCAAGGAAAGTGAAACTGTGGATAAGGGGGGACTAGTGTATTTATGTATTTAATTGATTTCTGACACTATCAGTAGCCTCCAAACACAGAATGTGTTTTTCTTTGGTTTTGTTTTCTTCACCACAGGATCTTCTGTGCCCAGTACAGCACCTGACAGATAGAATACAATCAAATATTTGCTGAATAAATGATTAAAAAATCAGAGAACCTTCCCACTCTGTTTGGAACTATAGAACATCCAAAGTGATGAGGGCCTCTGCATTTATACTTGCTTAAATAAGATTATGTGAGAAAAGTTTAAAGACACTTAGTATAGTGATTATCAAATATAGTTAAGACTTGGAAATGGTGGTGCTTTAAAAAGATATTAATAGATAATATGAAAATCTCCATCTCAAAAATAATACATAAACTATTTAAAGGAAAATCACATCTCTAGGCTTTCAATGTTTGTTCATTACTTTTTCATATATTTTTACCATCTGCCAAAGGCAGTCATATCAAAGGGTAAAGAAAGATGGGAGGAAAACTTAGTAAGAATTATATTAATCTGTTTGCAAAGTAGAAAAAGATTCCCATCACTCAACCTTATGAGCAGGAAGAGGGAAGGCTGTTTGAGAACCATTTACTTAACAGAATCACATATTTTAAACACTTCCCTGAATTCACTGCACAAACAACATGTTTGCAGACTTCTTAGATCAACCTCCAACAACGACCCATTCAGGAGTTAAACATTTTTCATCAAACATTGGATTTTTCCTTAACTCCAGAGATTGCTACAAATCTTCTGAAGTGTCTCAATGGCTTCAGGCTAAGAAGAGATTTCTCCCTGTTATAGGAAGCAAGACAAATTAGCCATTTCACTCTCAAACTGCACTAATGATCACATTCTTTCCAAAAGGAACTCTAGAAGACCAAATGCCCCGAGTTAAGAACATCAAAACTAACCAGCTGAAGAAACTTCCCAAGTGTAAGACTCTGCCATTAAAACATTACTGAGAGGGGACTCAAACATAGCCTTTATTCCTTTGTCATGTTTCTAGCTCCCAAACCAAGCACTGATGGCAGTACTGATACATAATTTAAAAGCACACTCCCTTCCACTTTGTAATACCAGAACTCTAATTGGACACCCTGAAGCTTAGGAGTACTAGCCATACAAATAGTAAACTCTTTGTCCACGATTCACTCACCTGTGTATTTTCTGTAGATGTTTACTAGGCTTTTATTATATAAAAATACCCCAGTCAGGTGCGGTGGCTCACGCCTGTAATCCCAACACTTTGAGAAGTGGGTGGATCACCTGAGGTCGGGAGTTTGAGACCAGCCTGACCAGCATGGTGGAACCCCATCTCTACTGAAAATACAAAAAATTAGCTGGGCGTGGTAGTGCATGCCTGTAATCCCAGCTACTCGGGAGGCTGAGGCAGGAGAATTACTTGAACCCGGAAGGCGGAGGTTGCAGTGAGCTGAGATTGCACCATTGCACTCTAGCCTGGGCAACAAGAACAAAACTCCGCCTCAAAAAAAAAAAAAAAAAAACACCAATGGTAAATTACACTCTCCTTCCTTTTTCCCAACTCTCTCTCTCCCCCTCTCTTTCACACACACACACACACACACACACACACACACACACACCACCAGACCGATTAGCTAACTTAGTGGAAAAGACACCTAGATGCCGTCTTCATATGTGAATTTAGCTCACAGGACTAGTGAGGGAATATCATTATCATGGGAGGACACAGAAAACATACAGGACTCTGAGCCACTCCTAGTTTTACCCCTCCCTTAGCCTGTGACTTGCCTTTTCTGATCCATCATCTATACAAGAAGAATAGCAGTGACTAGCACCCACAGGCCTCTCAGGATAGACTTAGCAGGCAAGGTAACCCACCACTTCAGAGCACAGGTTTAACCTCAGGCTAAATACTGCTCTGGTCATTTCATTAGCCGTGTGACCTCAGTATCAATGTGTCTGATGCATAAAAAATGTTACATGATCAGCCCCTGTCATCTCTCCTTTAAAAATTATAAACCACTCTACCAATATTCACTTCTATTATCTAAAAATGCACATAAAAAGATAGCCAGTAATAGAATATTCATCAAATGGTCTCTCAGGGCCCAGCATCATCTCCTTCCTTATCGCCAAAGCCAGCCTGCCCTCCCCAGATAGGATACTCACATCTCCCACATGCTTACAGAGGCAGACGGCCAGCCATAATTCCTCCACTCAGCAGCCTTTGAAGACTCAGCCAGCTGTATCAGTTAATAACCTCACTAAAGGTTATCCATCAGAAAGAAGGGAAACAAGTCCTAACTACTCTAGTGAGAGAAGTCATTAAATCCATACATGGCTCCTATACAGTCTGCCTGGCATTCATGGACATAGCACACACCATAGGAAAATGTTACCAAAGCACACAAGTATGTAATCTAAATATTAAATTACCTTTATTAAATAGCCTACCAATTAATTTCAACTCTACAGTTCTAACCATTTATTTGCTCAAGCTGTAAAATTTTTCTTTGGGTTCCATAGCCATTTCAATAAATCAAACTTGCCTTTTCTCCCCTTCCTGTTAAATAGTAAAACCATGTAGAATAGTTCCTAGACTAAGTGATTTAACCTCATTCCTATTTGTCAGAAGCAGGCTGCACCGATTTTTTTTTTTTTTTAACACTCTGATTGAAAGTCTTCTTTCTAAATGAGAATACTATCCTTGGAATGTTGGATTTCATTATTGGCTAGTTTCTGTTTAACCTTGGAGAAATCTCTACAAAAGGAAACTATATTATTTTCTTTCCAGGAATTTAATACAATTGTTCCATACTCTTAAGAGTTTGACATGGTTCAATTTCTCATGTTTATAAGCACTAACAGATACTAATATGTGAATAAAATGCATGATGCAACTTCTAAAAAATAACACCCAGGATATGTTATAACAATGTGCTATGCTGTGGCTGGACAGACAAATTTTTATTTGTCCAACACTGCATGGTGTGGCCTTATCCCTCCTGAATGGTATATCCAGACCAACATTTGAAGATGTCCACTATATCTTGTTTTAAAATGTTTTCTGTGCGTGCAAAATACTTACATAAAATGACTGGAAGATTTTTATAGGAAATTTCTTAAATAATTTATCATCAGAATGAGTCATGTAGAAGCACCAAGACTAAATTAACATCCCCTTCAGATGTAATGGAAATCCCATCTTTTCTCTGGGGACTCATCTAATTCTCTCTTCTATAATTTTTGGGAGAATACAGTAAAAGCACTTAATACAGTAATGGTATTAGCAAAACAAGGACTTATTTAAGAGGCTTTACTTGGGTCATTACAAGTATTATAGAATTACAAGATAAAGGGTGTGGGATTCTGGAGATTACTAAAAAGTTGATACAGAAATTCCTCATTCAGAGAGAAGGGGGATAAAACTTATTATTCTAAGCCAGAAAGTCTACACTGTGAACCAATCTCTATATCGAAATAAGTATTTTAAATCTCAGAAATGGGAAATGATCACAGAGCCCTCACTTGTGACCTATCAAAGTCAGGTTACCATCAAGTTTTATTTGATGTTAGTAATAACATTACCCAAAGTATAGTTATCTTGTCATTAATTTTCTAGCAGCTTGACCAAAATGTTTATCAAAAAGTATACTACAAAAAATTAACTTCAGGCTAGGTTTGTTGTGAACTGAAATATTTTTCCCCAATCCTAATATTTAAATAGTTAAAAATAATGGTAAGTTTCCTATCATCTCCCCATCACCCCTCCTTTCTAAGCACCCCAGTCTCCAGCAATCATCATCTTACTCTCTACTTCCGTGAGATCAACTTTTTTCGATTCCACATGTGAGTGTGATCATGGTATTTGTCTTTCTGTCCCTGGTTTATTTAACATAATATCTTGTGGGTTCATCCACAGTTATAGTTAAGTTGGAGGAGTAAACTTCAGGAGTTCTATTGTATAGCAAGATGATTATATTTAGTGACAATATTTTTTTTTTATTTTGAGACAGGGTCTTACTCTGCCGGCTACAGAGCAGTGGTACGATCTCGACTCACTGCAACATTTACCTCTTAGGCTCAAGCAATTCTCCAGCCTCAGCAACCCAAGCAGCTGGCATTATAGGCACACACCACCATGCCCTGCTAATTTTTGTATTTTTTTTAAATTATACTTTAAGTTCTAGGGTACATGTGCACAACGTGAAGGTTTCTTACATAGGTATACATGTGCCATGTTGGTTTGCTGCACCCATCAACTCGTCATTTACATTAGGTATTTCTCCTAATGCTATCCCTCCCCACAACAGGCCCTGATGTGTGATGTTCCCTGCCCTGTGTCCAAGTGTTCTCATTGTTCAATTTCCACCTATGAGTGAGAACATGCCGTATTTGGTTTTCTGTCCTTGTGATAGTTTGCTGAGAATGATGGTTTTCAGCTTTATCCATGTCCCTGGAAAGGACATGAACTCATCCTTTTTTATGGCTGCATAGTATTCCATGGTGTATATGTGCCACATTTTCCTAATCCAGTCTATCATTGATGGGCATTTGGGTTGGTTCCCAGTCTTTGCTATTGTGAATAGTGCCACAATAAACATACGTGTGCATGTGTCCTTATAGTACCATGATTTATAATCCTTTGGGTATATACCCAGTAATGGGATAATGGGATAGCTGGGTCAAATGGTATTTCTAGTTCTAGGTGCTTGAGGAATTGCCACACTGTCTTTCACAATGGTTGAACTAATTTAATCTCCTACCAACAGTGTAGAAGTGTTCCTATTTCTCTACATTAATTTTTGTATTTTTTTGTAGAGATGTGGTTTCGCCATGTTGCCCAGGCTGGTCTCAAACTTCTGGGCTCAAGCCATCCCCCTGACTTGGCCTCCCAAAGTGCCAGGATTATAGGCATGAGTCAAATGCCCAGCTGACAATATATTCTTGAAAAATCTAAACAGTGGCTGTTATGTGCTGTCACCACAAAAGTGATAACTATGTGAGGTAATGCAATTGTTAATTAGCTAGATTTAAGCATTCCACAATGTATATAGACTTCAAAATCATGTTGTACATGATAAAGCATACTGTGTTATCTGTCAACTAAAAAAATAGCATGTAACAAAGGCCCTTATCTGTTTAAGCATTTTGGAAATCTCATTGTAAAGACTGACAGATTTATTGTTTTTCTGACAGTGTCTGACTTTCCTCCCAGACATTAACTAAAAGTATTAAGGTTTATAATGGTGTCATTGGAGAGTTCATTAAGAGAGGCTTTCCATGATTTCTGGTAGAGTTAACCTGTGTCAACTCCTATCTTCAGCAAGGCTAGCAGAAGGCATTGCTGGGCTGGATGGAATCAGAAAGCAAGTACAAGTTTTCAAAGCAGGTGCTACTGTTGACATAATATGCATTAAACATTCTGCTTGTGCATAGCTCCTAGAAGAATGGGTACTTCCTCATTTTAATTTTTAATACAAGTTTCTGTATTCCACAAAAAACCATTCCTGGGAGAATTTCCAGAATAATATGTAATCTGACTTGCATATCTTAGTATGACACCAAAGCTGACTCTCCAGTATTTGGAGACCTAAGAGCAGAAAAAAGATTCACAGGTTGCACTTCGAAGTTACAAAAGCGGTTAGCATGGCAGTTGGCTTTGCCTCTGTTTCAAGAGTGGCCCAGAGGTAGTGGAGAAGTAAAACAAAGCTGGAAGGGGTCACTCTGTGGTTCCTAAGAATGCACGGCTGCCAAACTTAAAGGATAAGACAAAACTGTACATTCCAGAATCAAAGAGAGTTAAAGATGAATGAGATCCTAAAGATCAGCTAGCTCAGGCATCATCAATGTTCATTGTGTTTAAGAATCAGTTGGGATGCTAGTGAAAGCTGCACATTCCTAGTCCCATCCACTGAGATTCTGATTCAGCAGCAGGAGGCAGCCATGGTACCAGTAGTGATACATAACATTTCTAAAGCACTTGCTTTGTGCCAGATACTGTGCTATGTTCTTTATAAATATCACCTTATTCAATTTTCAAAACAATCCTATTGGGTGGGTACTACTATTGCCCCCATTTCACAGAAAAGGAAATCAAGGTAGAGTGACTGAGACATCTGTCCAAGGACATTCTGCTAGGAAGTGGAAGAATAAGAGTTGAAACCCAGACAGGCTGGCTTCAGAGTTTGAGCTCTTAATCATCACCCTGAACCACCCACCAACAGGGTTAGGGTGAGGCCCAGGACATCAAGAGAATGTCATGACTGCAGTCAATCTTTTCTGAATGAGAAACTGAAACCAGGAGAAGTGCAGTCTCTAATCCAAGACAAAAATCCTTCAGTGCATTTCCAGGGAGAAATCCACCAGTGGATGACACCAACTATTCCTGAATATTCCTCAACATATGCTCCTCGAGAGAGGAAAAGGACGGAATGCATTATTGAAAGCTTTCTTATTGGTTCCTGCTGTGTTACCATGACCAAAGTGCTGTTATGGGGCAGAGTTTCTATCCTTTCTGCCCAACTCACCATTCACTCAGAGAATATGACACACACTGTTCAGCATAAGGGACCCCCAATCATGGTGATTCTTAAAAGAAAGGGAAAGCAGGAGGGAGAGATGCTATCCCCAAAAGGAAGGTGGTAATTGGAATGAGGGAGGTAAGTTTCATGTAACTTGAAGGAGAAAAAAAAAAAAGATGTGATTCTGATATGCCTCCCAACTGTGGTCTTTCTCCCCCTAAACTGACCATTCTGAAATCTCAGTATATATCAAAACATTATTATTATTATTATTATTATTATTGCTTTGTTTTAACATATGAAAGCAGGCAGACTACCCGGAATAATCAGATCTACCCCATGCTGGAACTACTCACACACATTCTCTTAAAAGGTTACAAATATACTTTCTAATAGCCTTTAATGCAGAACGAGGCCAAAAATCTCACGGATTTATTGAAATTGTCCCTTTTTGATGTTAAACCATCAGGGTAATTTAGGGGGTCCACGAGCAAGAATAACAAGCATCCGTTCCGAATGAAAGACGAGCTAGCATGACCGCAACGCAGACGCATTTTCAGATAACAAGTGCAGGGGATCCGAATGTGTTCCTGTCCCAATGACGCACACTGGTGGCCACGTCAAACCAACCTTCATCACTTCCACCTGCAGGTCCTCGTTGAGCGAAGGCGTCACTTTCACGGCATTCAGGATCTGATTGAGCAGCTGCTTCTCATCAGAGTCTGTTTCCATGGATACAAACCTCTCTTCCGACAGAAGCTTCTGTAAAGAGGCACAAGGCAGTGATCACAGATAGGCTCTCCCCTGTTGCCTTATTTGGTTGTATCTTATTATGGATTGATGATCAGTTTTCTTACCGGGGAGGCGTGTAGCTGGAGGCCATTAGGAAAGGACTTATGTATGCTATGTGCCAATAAAAAGAAAAATGCGGCCAAGGGCGGTGGCTCATGCCTGTAATCCCAGCACTTTGGGAGGCTGAGGCAGGTGGGTCACGAGGCCAGGGGTTCGAGATCAGTCCGTCCAACATGGTGAAACCCTGTCTCTACTAAAAACACAAAAATTAGCCAGGTGTGGTGGTGAGTGCCTGTAATCTCAGCTACTCAGGAGGCTGAGGCAGGAGAATTGCTTGAACCCGGGAGGCAGAGGTTGCGGTGAGCCAAGATCGCACCACTGTACTCCAGCCTGGGCGACAGAGCAAGACTCTGTCTCTAAAGAAAAGAAAAATGCACGCAACCCTGAGTAAATGGTTTTTGGCAAAGACCTTTTCCTGCTATTGGACTATTCATTCTAAATGCCATCAAGTGAAACTCTGATGTGCCAGCCATATAAGGTATTTAGGTGGTGGGGATGGAGAATGATCATGCTAAGAGGAATCTAGCCCTACCCACTAGTCTCTCACACACACACACTTTCTAACTGTGGCTTCATCACAGGAAAGAAGGTCTTGTAGACAAGATCATTTTTCAGGTTTTTATCTTTTTACTTCCTAATGTGACCTGTCATTTATCCAGGAATTATTTAGGAATCCAGAAATCTTAATGTATTTCCCCATCAGAAAATGCATCCCCCCAAACCTCATCCAGAAGACATTCATTGTTATGAGGACTCCCAGGAGTCCACCTCGCAGGATAGGCTTTCTCTATCTCTTTCTCATTTTCATAAAATTTTTTTCCAGATTGTACCAAAACCCCCCCGCCCACAACTTCTACTCCTTCATCTTCCTCCAGAGACACACAGATTAAGCTTCTAAAAGATCTGAAACCAGCTATCAGGTCCACCCAAGTCTTGTCTTCTCCACACTAAACCTCCTCAGGCTCCTCCAAATGTTCTCTGCCAGATAAGGTTTCACTTGTGCTTAGAATGTGGCCTCAAGAGTGGTCTGATACTAACTAGTGATACATAATTTGGATCACATTCTCAGGTCAAATGAGCTTAGTTGGTTGTCACAGTACATTCTATGCCTGTGAATGAGGCATAGAATTTCACCCTCAAACCCCTAATTCTTGTTCACAAGGACTGCAATTAAGCTACTTTCCTCCATGCTGTCTTGGTGCAATTGATTTTTGAGACCCCAGTATAGACCTTTATATTTGTCCCTATTCAATTTGTTCTTCTCCAAAGGGACTTCGAGTTGCAGCCTGTGAAGAACTTTGAGAATTCTGATCCATCCAGTGTAATAACTCCCTCTTTTACCTTCACACCACTGAAGATCTTGAAAATAATATTTCAAACCTTTCTACTTAAGACTCCCTGAAATTTTGCCTATATTCTTTCAAAAGGACTTTTTTTTTCCAGAATCATGTGGTATACTCAAGAAAGCCCAGAATTAGAGTTTACATACAATTTATTTTTATTTAAAGTGATAAAAACTGAGAAGCTCTAAAAATATGCCTAAAGTTAACAGGAGGTAGCGGGGGATGGTAAAAGGACGACTCACAGCCTACCAAGTTGCTTCAGTTAACACGATTCAGTAAGCCCTTGAAAACATGGCACTGCAATTTAGAATATTCCAGGGTTAAAGAAAAAAGGGAGAGAAGCTAAATGCAAAATCTACATAACATTAGAGAAAAAGGAACAAAAGTGGCAGATGAAAACAAATTCTCAACTATTTTTATGGTTGGCCCAATTACATTGGAGGAAAGCAAAAGGTTTTTAATAACATTATTGATAATGTTTAAAAGATTCAAATACTGCTGTGTACAAAAATATACATTATCTAATTCCAATCTGCTGGGGGAAAAAGAGCTGTTTTCTCATTATTTCATAAGTTTCCCAATACCTTAAAAGGTATTGGGAACTTTCTGAACTAAAAAAGCTAACTATGAAGCAGTTTGCACTGACATAAAAAGACATCTGACAAATGCCACCGTGGTTTATCCATGGCCACACTGAACAAACTCCTGCAGGCTTCAACTTCACAGCGCTTGTCTCTTAGAGGCCAACCACTTCAAAAAGTATGTGTATTTACATAGTCAGCACCTTTTTACTATTAGAATTAGACCCATTATGTTTGGTGTAAAACACAAACCAAAAAAATGTATTCAAGCAAATCTGACTTTTCTTGTTAAACCAAATTTCTTTTTACTTCCCAATCTTGCTCTGGAAATAAAAGATAATAATCCACTCCTCAATCTAACTGTGGAATAAAAAAACAAAACAAAATCTTTCCAGTTTACCATCAGTTTTTATTATATAGAACCACAGATGTTGAATGTATAAGATTTGAATTGGTATGAACTTGTGGTCTCTTTTTTGGGATCCCTTACTCTCCTGAAAGATGTCACACACACACACACACACACACAAATCCCTATTTTTGTGGGCTTAGCTACGTCCACATGAATCAGTGTCTGATCACAAAGGTTCAATGAAATAATGCTGTGTACAGAGAAATTCTGGTGAATATAAGAAAATCCTGTTATTCTCTATGGTTATTTCCTAGTTCAATCACATTTCTGTCTAAGTCTTTAAACAGCCAGTATTTAAAATGTTAACTATTTGCCCTTTCAATGCCAAAGTGGCCTGTCAATTTCTATCATCCCACTGCATTCAGTCAAAGCCATACCTGCATCCCTGCCAATGCGTGTTGGGCCAGCTTCACATTCTTGGATTCCAAAGCCAACTGGAGAGGCAGCAGGCATTTCTCCCTGGCAAACGCAAAAATAAGGACAACATGTGAGCTCAGTAAAGCTGGCAATCAAGTGATGTAAGCCTTATGTACACCCACCCCCAAATACCACTACACACATACACAAAAACTATAACCAATAATAAAAATGCACATGGGCTCAAGAGAAAACACAGCAAAGAAGCTGTGCAGAAATGATAGCCCATCAACCCCTTGCCTTCTTGGTATGGCTACAGGAAGAGCAAACACAAGGACTTTCACTAATTATTACCTGGTACACTCATTAGTACACAATGGGATCCCAGCCAGTCTGTGAACATGCTTTGTTCTTTCCCAAATTAACACCACTCACTGCTCACACCCAGCACACCTGGGGGTGAACAACTCTAGGAGGCATCATTAAGTAGATTTCTATGCCTTGTTTCTACCTCTTCCTTACCTGGAGATTATATGCATCACCATCAGCACTCTGTCTCATCAATATATACCAAAATTCTATTAGTTTGTCAATTCCTTCCCAACTCAAAGGATTCAACAATAATTTATAAATTTAACATTTGCTCTATAATCTCCATCAAGTAGTAGATCTGAGTCTTGTGACAGGTTCTTAATGAACATGTTTCCAAGACAGAAATACAAATTAACCATCAATAGCATTGGCCGATAAGAGGTGCTTAGATGTAACATTACCTAGAGTCAGGGGAGAGAAAAAAAAAAAAAAAAAAAGGAGAGCTATTTGGATATTTTAAAGCTTAGAAAAAAAAGGAGATTAAAATATTTTAGGAATGAACCAAAAGACAAAAATATCTGTTAGAAGCATCTACTTTAAATAATTAAACAACAGACCAAGAATTTTAATCAACCCATTATTTCCCTATGGAGTTACACTAGCACAAAAGTGAAATGTGACTTCATTTTACCAGGTTTCTCTACCCCTACTTAAACCAGAGCAGCCCCACTCTTATCTGTTTTATATTTTCAGCATAAACTGAAAGATACATTGATTTTTAGAGTGTGAAAGCTACCACATTAGACTATAGGATTTCATCGTTGGAGGAATAAGGGTTCCTGTTGTAGAACACAATGAAATACAAAGTTCATTATAGCTCTGATTTCTCCCTGTCCACTCTGCAGCTCTGCTGCTTTTCCATGGAATCCTTCCATCAGCAGCTTCACAACCGATGAAGTTAGAGTCACACACTCCTCTAATATAATGCCAGCCACACAGACTACAAAAACAATCAGGAAAAATGTTTGCCTTCCTAATCTTCACCTTGCCCCTCAACAACCCACTGTTACAATATCCATTTTTATATGACAATTAACACTACAGCCATTTTTCATTAGATTCATCCTTTGACAGATGGATAAATTACCCAACTGTGTTACATCCAGTTGGGTGGCTGTAACTTTGTCACTGTTATTTTATTGTCAGCTTGTCACAATTACAAGACAAACACTGTGGTGCAGTCAATTAGTGCAGGAATAGCTGTTTTTTTTTTTCTTCCAATTTTGTTTCTTTTATTCAATGTTAACCAGTTTAAGAGCTTAGAAAAATTAAACGGAAGCATGAAGATAGAGTGAGAAGTAGCAACCAAGGGCAGTTGGTATGCTAACAGAAGCAGCACAGAACTTCATCTGTAAACCCTTGAAACAATCAAATTTCCACCAGGATTAATCTACTGTGAAAGAACTTTCCACTTGAATTTGGAGTCAGATTGGCCAATGAAAGAGCATAATAGCAGGGAACAAGCATGGGGGTCCAAAAGTCTTACAGCCTAATAGTCCAGGGAAGAGGAAATATATCCTGTAGCTATGGGCTGAAAATGTACAAGTATTTATACATTACTCACCAAGGGCACCCAACAAGATTGGATGCCATGTCCAGCAGCAACAAGGACCCTTTTGGAAATCCTCAACCTGTTGACCCTTGGAAAGCAGCAATATGTTCGCCTATCTATATTACTCTGCCATCTGTAGTATTAGCCTTTGAAATCCTTATTCCACTCTCTCACCTGCTTATACATTCACACGACTGATACTGTTGACCTGAGCCAGGTTGCTGACAAATGCTAGGATTTCCAGGTTGTACCACCACCAGGGGCCATCACCACCATGCAAGCCATGGTCACCAAGCAGGACTGGTAGATGAAGGTGGTTCAACTAGGTTTTGGCTGAGTTGAAAAATATGAGTGGTTAGTAGAAAGAACATGGGCTGTGGAATCACATACACGTGAATTCAAATGCTAAGCACTCATAAGTTTTGTAGTCTCAATCGAAAGACTAAACTCTGTGGGTCTTAACTCCCTTATCCATAAAAAGGGCATTTTAAGACCAATCCTGCAGAGTTGGAGTACAATATATAGATAATATGTAGTATAACATATGTATCAGAGGTTGTCAAACTTTTTTGGTAAAGAGCCCCATAATAAATATTTTAGACCATGCACTCCAAATGGTCTCTGTCATAACTATTCAACTCTGCTAAAGCACAAAAGCAATCACAGACAATTAGTAAATCAATGAGTATGACTATGTTCCAATAAAACTTTATTTACAAAAACAGGCAAAAAGCCAGAGTTGGCTTACAGGCTGTAGTTTGTCCAGCACTGATATAGACAAAGTGCCCAACACAGATCATGATCTTCCGCATGCAGATCAAAAACAATTTTTCTTTTTTTTTTTTTGAGACGGAGTTTTGTTCCTGTTGCCCAGGTTACAGTGCAATGGTGTGATCTCAGCTCGCTGCAATCTCTGCCTCCTGGGTTCAAGCGATTCTCCTGCCTCAGCCTCCCAAGTAGCTGGGATTGCAGGTGCCCACCACCACGCCCAACTAATTTTTTGTATTTTTAGTAGAGATGGGGTTTCACCATTTGGCCAGGCTGGTCTTGAACTCCTGACCTCAGGTGATCCACCCACCTTGGCCTCCCAAAGTACTGGGATTACAGGCGTGAGCCACCACGCCTGGCCTCAAATCTTTTTATGTACCCAGAAAGATTTTGCACAGGACAGGGGCTAACTGTCCTGGGAAGGTCATAGCAGAGGCAAGCACAGCACCAAGATCTCCCTTAGAAAATGAATGCATTGCCTGGACACCGTGGCTCATGCCTGTAATCCCAGCATTTTGGGAGTCCAAGGTGGGCGGATCACGAGGTCAAGCAATAGAGACCATCCTGGCCAACATGGTGAAACCCTGTCTCTACTAAAAATACAAAAAAATCAGCCGGGCATGCTGGCGTGTGCCTGTAGTCCCAGCTACACAGGAGGCTGAGGCAGGAGAATCACTTGAACGTGGGAGGCAGCAGTTGCAGCGAGCCAAGATCACGCCACTGTACTCCAGCCTGGCAGCAGAATGAGACTCTGTCTAAAAGAAAAGAAAAGAAATGCATTGGGGAAATATCACTATAGACAAAAATTTCATCTGGATATTAAACCAAAGCACTCCATCATTCAACCATTTATCCAATCATCATCCATTCAAACATTTGAGTGCCTCCTGTGTGCCAGGCAGCATGCTGAGAGCTAGGGAAGGGCCAGCAAGGAACGGGTTACAACAGGTACTTGCTTTCATTAGTATTCATGGGACAAAGAAAGAAAAAAGAAAATTAGCATTTACTATTTATCTCATCTTAACTGTCACTACAACCTTCTTACCCTTATTCTAAATTTGAGAAAATTGAGGTTTGGAAAGGTTTTGTAGCCTGCCCAAGGCCACACAGTTAAAATGTGTTGCAGACAACTCAAACCCAAATTCATCTGACTCCCAAGACCAAGTTCCTTTCAACCTCTTTGGTCTCATAAGATCAGAGCAAAACTAGAATAGATGTGCTTCTTAACCTGTTTTAGTTCTTAAACACACACACACACACACACACACTCACACACTCACACACAAAATCTGGCACAGGACCCTCTTCCTAGAGGAGGGTGCCTATCATTCCATAATCCTCAGGTCCCCAAACCTCAATTCTACATGGATCCCAAGTTAGGAGTCTCTGTCCTTTATGGTAAAGAACTCTGCTCAACATTCAAGGTCTGTGTCAGAGAAGAGGGTAGTATAACCTGGCTGGGGTTCTGCTAGGACGGCCTTTGAAGAGATGCTACACTGAGCCCTGGGTAGCTGTGTTTGTGTGTATATGCGTGTGTGTGTGTGTGTGTGTGTGTGTGTAGGTGTATGTGTAGGTTACTATAAACATTTTATAGTAAATAAAATTCTATTGTTGAAATTGAGGACCAATATTTTAAGAAAATGTCTACAATGTTAATAGTGCTGTTTATTGCAAAGTAGTTGCTTCTGACCCTATCTTCAACAACAAAATAGATATTTACTTAAAATGAAATGCTGAAAAACAGGGTTTTTTGCTAGTAAATACTAGTAAGAACAAAAGTGTACCCACCAGTCTAATGCTTTTAAACAGCTAACAAAAATCAACATGAATGAGAGCAATTTACTGTAGTAGTAACACGGTTGGTAACAGGGCCATAATAATCTGTATCCAAGGCCTCTCATCCCCTCAGACCCAGCAGCCCCTAGAGTAGTACCACAAGCCTCAGATCCTGACTTCAATTGGAAATGAACCCATGTGCAAAAGAAGGAAATTCATGGGGCATAACCAATTTTGCTGCTTGCTCTGTGATACCATAAAAACCCTCCTACCTTCATTTTTTTCTACAAGTGATTTTAATGAAAGAGAAAACAGGCCTGTTAATTGGGTCTCAGGATGAAATTTATAATGAAAATGCAACATGGCACACACTCAATCCCCTTTGCACACACTGTACTGGAATAAATCATCTTTTGATCTTTCTAGATGCTGCCTCATTGGGAAAAGGGCATGGCAAAAACCAACATTCGATTACATTAAGCGATTATTTTTAATGCAGAGGCACGTGCAAATTTATTCTTGCCTAATTAAATAAAGGCAGTGGCCCCAGGTTTCATGTCCTGACATGCCATTATTTCTTAAAGAAGAATAATTAGCAGTGCTGCATATGCATGAGGAAGGCATCATCCA